CAGCTGGGTGCTGGCTTTGTTCGTGGGATCAGAGAGCTGCATCGGCAGCAGTGGCAGGGGTGCTAAGTCTCCCTTGGATTGAGGCTTTCCAAAGTGACTGTTGTGAAAGACATCCTTATGGAATGCCAGCCATTACCACGAGTACAGTTTATTGAAGGGTGATGGGGAGAAGGGTGACGTGTGGTATGTGCACAGCATTTATCCTGATGGATCAAACTTGGCAGTGGCAATACGTAAGTGTTTTGCTTATTTGGCTGAAATTGTCCACAGCTGCTAACTTCTACCAGAATTAGAAATTTTTAACAGCTGCCACTGGAATTGGAGAAGCAAAGGAGCTGTGCAAGCCTTTTGAGTTTCCACCCTAGCAAGCAGCTTGGTGCTCCTGGAAGCCCTGGGTGCAGTGCTGAGCATCAGCCCCACCACCCACACGTGACACTGTTTGCCTGCAATGCGGGGCAGCCCCGGCTGCCTGGTGTTTGACAGAGGGTGGATATCTTCCCGAGGTGCAGGAGAGCAGGCAGGGTAGGAGAGCAAGCCTCAGCCCAGAAGGGAGAGGTCTCTGCCAGTCCCACCTCAGCTCACCTCTGATTTCTCATCAGTGTTCACAAACAAAAGGAGTCTTTCTGAAAACCTACCTTGCACCTAGCACTGTGCAATTTCTGACTTGCTCTGTGTGCTTGATGGTGCTTTTTGAGGCTTGTTAGCTTAACAAGTAACTTCCAAAATATTTAGGGACAAGAGAAGTGTGGTTTTAGAGGAATGCAAACTAACTGGAAACACTAGTAGTTGTTGCTACAGGAACAAAACCAGTTAACTAGTACACAGAGCTCTTCAAAGGTCATGGGGATCTCCAAGAGGCAAAACTGTAATGATAGCATTTCAAGTCATGAATTTATAGGTGATTAATCATTATAATATATGAAAGGCGCTGTTTAACTATCTTCTGGGCATCTGGGGAAGCACAGGTTGTGCAAGTAAATGGAAAAAGCACATTGCAAGCTGCAGATTCTTCTCCCCTGGACACGTTCGTGCCACTTTTGACAATGGGGGGTAAAAATACTTGCTATTCCATAATTTTACCTGATTATCTAGAAATAAATCTTTCAGGCTGGATCCCGGACTCTTCTTAGGACAAGCAGTGACTAGGTTTGGTGGACCTGAGGGGCTTGTGTTTAAGACTGGACAGTTCCAGCATTACAACATGCTTGAAGTGTTCCCACTCAAGCAGGAGAATTGCTGCGTGGTTGCTAAATGAGAGTGTTGGGGTCCTTGGAGAGAAGCTGTTTGTGTCTTTCCTGTAGTTTCATCTACATTAGGCCCTGCTCTTTTGAAGAATGAATCCTTCCCTCCTGCAGCTTTTGTGCCCTTGCCAATTGCTTCAAGCAGAAGAAGGAAACTGTGTCTGAGGCTAAGGAAAGCAGTGGCAAACCTGGGGTGAGGAGAACTGACTGGAAGGGACAAAAGATGATGTTCAGCCCCTCTACCATCAGGTTAGGGGAAGGAATGTTTGAGGGTAGGGGCTGGTCCCTTAAAGCTAAGACAACAGAAAGTGCCTTCACCAGCTTACTAACACGGCTGTCTGGAGGCTTCTGGCTATAGAAGTGCAAGTCCTGGCGTGTGTGCTGAGGGGACAGGGCAGCCGTCATGGGAAGATGGATTGGAGCAGACGTGCTCAGACATGGGCGTGCGTCGCTCAGTCATCCGAGCAGCACCAAGATGTGGCTTCCTCACGTATCAAGATACGCCTTTCTTCATGGTCCTTCCCCACCCCTTATTTGTTTTCTTGCGTTTTTTAACTTCAGTATTTCTCACAGGGCAACAGAGCTTCCACACTGTCCCCTGTCGGGAGCTCCTCAGTAATGCAGCCATCGAGTCAGGTTTTAGGGCACGAGTAAGGAAATTCATAACCTGAGTTTTCTACGGCCACAGTAACTGTGACACAGATTCATGACTGGCGTATCATCATTAAAAGACAGTGGAGTTGCATTGGGGATTGATGTGATCATATGCATGTAAAGATCAAGATACAAAAAGGTGTGATTTATGTAATATAACCATAAGCTGGAATCCAAAACCCTTCTCACATGTGGTGTGACAGTTCCTGTTCCCAGAGCCATGATGGCTTTTAAATTTACTGGGTAAATGTATGTGTTTAAATGTTTTTATTTAACTCTTTTAAACATATCCTAACGTATAATGGTTCAGCATTACTGAAATTCTTTCTTTTCGGAGCCTGGGTATTATATGTCAGCACTTTATTGTGTTATCCTTCAGGGAACATAGAAACACTGCCATGTTTGATACAGCCTTAGCAAAGGTAAATGCAGGAAATATCAAAAGTGTACACAAAGCAGAAAGATAAATGTTATTCAGGTTTTATCATTAAAAAGGCTATTGGAAACACAGAAAGAAGGTATCGATGAACAAAACTGTCCTTAGTTTTCAGGATGTGTTAATTCTCCCCTTCCTACCCTTTAGTGATTTGCACCCGAAAAGAAAGAGGACAGAGCTGGGCCAATTTGGTGATGTGGATTGACCAGCAGCTGTCCCTTTGGTGGCCTTTGGAGGCAGAGAGACTTCAGGTACAGCTGCAATGGGAGCTGTGCTGGGGTAGCACCGGAGCACAGCGTGGTTCCTGATGGAGTCATCTCCTGGCTTCTGGGAGCTCTTGGCAGCTGCTCTGAAGCTGGCCTAAATTACATGTTTGTCTTCCACAAAATGTTCAAAGCTATTGAGATAAGTAGCTGCTGAGGCCTCCTGTTTGGCAAATTTGTCAATCAGCTCATAGAGCTATAAGTAAATGGGGAGTTATTACAAAGGCTTATTGTGCTTTGCGGTTGTGTAGGAGTTAACATCATTTTCTGAGGAGTTCTTTTATCTCCCAAGTGCAGCAGTGATCAGGATTTACTTCTGAAGTGTGCTGGTAGTTTGGAGTACTCAAAACATACATGTTGGTCCTGGATGTTTTTTTCAGTACAAGAGACTGTACTTGAGCTTTGCTGTGGGGTCCAGCAAATAAATCAGGGCTTTGGCTTTAGGGGAATATTTGTAAAAGGAAGGGGGGATCCAACCCAACCCACCCCCGCTAAACCTCATGGCACTGGTAACATTGAACCTTAACAAAAAGGTACTTTTTCAGGCTACCCTTCCTGGCCTCCTTTGAGTCTATGTTACTCCAGACCCCAGAATTGATGGTGGTCGAGGTTAGGCTTTAATCCAGTGGGGTGCCCAGTGTCCCAGCCCTGATCCAGCAAAGCACATAACTGCTTCAGTGTGAGTCTGTGCATGCAGTTAAAGTCAAGTTCATCCTTAATATACCTGCTGGGTGCGGGTGAGAGTTCTCTCAGTTGCAGCATCAAACCTTTACTGAGAAAACCATCACATGTAATATGCGCCTAATGAAGGAACAATATTCAGTGCATCTACCCCTTGTTTTCTGTTACGTATATTACGTTATTTCTATAGATGCTCCTGACTGCTAGTTTCCCACCCGACTGTTTTCCCATGCCACATAATTTTCCCTCAGAAAGGACACCCAGAGGAAAATTAATCCAACTGTGTGTCATTTGTTCTCAAACAGATAGTGTAGGTGAGACTGGATTGACACCGCTTCCTCCCTCCCGAAGCATTCACTATTTGTCTGCTCTTTTTGATCATCTGTGGTTCATAGGTGTGAAGGAAGCAACCACAGAAGACATGGAGATGGGCCTGGAGAACCCACAGGGCAGAAGAGCTGGCATAGAGGTGGCTCTGAGCATCTGCACACTTTGCTGTGCGCACAAAGATACAGATAGATGTTCCTCTTTCTGGAGCAGGATGGTACAAATGAGAATCAGCAGACCTTTCGCCATCCAAAATCCCTGGCCATCCTCACGTGTGCCAAACCCACCAGCCGCACCCTCAGGGTTTAGGGTTTTGTTTTATATATGAGGTTTTGAACATGAGTGAATGTTAGGATTGGTTTTATTTGTCCAATAACATTTAGTCTTTGGGGTGTTTAATGTACAACATGGAGTCTTTGTAGAGAGGGATTGATTTTACTTAGCTTTGTAGTAGAGCCTTATGCATCTGGTTAAGCTTAAGACATTAGCTTTAGCTAACAAGAAATCTCTTGATAAAATTACAAGTACTGGCAATACTGCAGACATAGACTTATCTCCTGGGCACGTTTTGTAAAATTAAGCTATTTTCATTAAAAGAACAAAGAATAGCATGGTGATGGAGCAGCTGTCATATTTTATTACAAAACACAAATATGTGGGAAATCAGTTACAGCACAAGTGCTGCACAATGCATATTTCCAGTAATCCCTCATGGCCAAGGGAAGGTAGAAGGCTGATCTGAGTGCAGGAGCAGATGGCAAGCAACTTTAGATAGCTTCACTGCCATTTTTACTCTTTCAAGTGTTTGTGCTGCTTCTTTGATCTTCAGATCTTGAGTTTAATATGTTTCATCTTCTTTGATTTAATGTTTTCACATTTAACTCTCCCTTTAAATAACTTTTGCTCGGTGGAGTTTGTATTAGTATGGGTTTTGTTATCTTCCATACTGAGAAATTTAAGAAGAGAGGCAGTTGCTGTCCTTTTTTAGCAGTATTTACGTCCCATAAAATACCGGTTTCATCACTGCAGAGGACTTCGCCGTTTACCATGCACAGCTGTAATGATACAATGAAAAGATCCCACCTCACAACATTACTGGGACACTTACAGTGCACACAAAGCGCAGTAGACTTTCTGGGAAGGTAGATACTAGGGGAGTGTGATGGCACATCCACAACAAGCACTTACGGAGGTTTGGTTTCATCATTATCCATTAAATTTAATTCTTACAGTTAAGTAATTAATCTTGCATTAGTATTCTCGGTGCATATAACATTTTTATCTCCACTTAATTTATGTTTAAAATAAAAGCATTTTACAGTGTTTTGAACTAGAGCAGCAAAAGCAGATGGGGTGATATGAATAACAACGTGATCTGTGTCTTTGCTTTTTCTGTAGCTGTCAGAAATGATAGGAACAAAAAGAAGAAGGAACCTTCAAAGCAGGAGTCCACAGAAAACTATGAAATGACAGCAGAGTTGGATGATCTCACTGAGAAGATAAGAAAAGCTCACCAGGAAACCTTCCCCTCACTCTGCCAGCTGGGAAAATACACTACAGTGAGTATGGCTTGTGACACGTACATTCTGGTTATGCCCGGATGATGCATGGTTTGCATTGGAGGCTTCAGGTGTTTTAAATAGATGTAGCAGTAGATGCAGTCATTGCATGTCCTTAGCCATGAGAAACACAGGTATGTATGTGAACACATGCTGGAGAAGAGAAATTGCTCTTAACTGTAAACATTACTTAGCGGTATTGTGAGAGACTTGTCTGAAGGATTAACCCAGCCAAGAGACAAGCTTGAAGTCCGTGAGTCAGCTACATGCCATCATTCATTAGAAATTTGTTGGCTTCCAAAGGCGCGACCTCTGCTTGTGCGTCAGCGGATTACAGCTTTGCAGGTGTAGAGAGTTCTTAAATGCTGGTGGATTAGTGGTGACAGTCCCAAAGCTGCCAAGGTCAAGGAAAATACTAAATGTGTAAATAAACCAGTTTCCAAAATCCCACAAAGCAGCAAAAACTTCTGCTGCTTTTAGAAATGAAAGATCAGCCCGCTCCTTCAAGAAGTTCAGTACTGTAGGAATTTCTCCAGAGGATGAGCCAGGGAAGTAATTCTTTTCTATGCATACATATGTTGCTAAACACAGGGATACTAATTGATCTCAGAGAGGAAACTCAATGTCAAGTTTACAAATGCCGTAATAAAAGAGATGCTAAAAAATAACTGTTAGGTAATGTTCAGTGTCCTGTTGGTAGAGGAATGACTTTGCTGGGTCTGGTCTTGCTGTTGGTTGTAGCAGCACTGTCTGTTTTAGAGGGATGTGCAGAAGGTCATAAAGTAGTTGAGCCTGCACTCTGGCTGCCGAGACCAAGAGTATAGGAGCATTATGGCTGGGGCAAGGAGACATCTGCTTCCAGCCCTAGCTGGAGATCTGGGGGGGTTGGAACTAGATGATCTTAAGGTCCTTTCCAACCCTAACTATTCTATGATTCTATGACTAAGCCCCAGAAAACAGGTGAAATACCTCTATTGCTGGATAGCCTCTGTTCTGAGTACATGCTCTGCTACTGAAACAAATGTCAGATTTCTCAAAGAGTGACCTAGGCAGTTCCCTGTGTGGCACTGATACTCATCACATTTTATTTCAAGACCCACGTAAAATGATTAGTAGTGGGGAAGGGTCCTGTCCTCGCTGTGCTTCTCTGGGCTAGCCCTGGCTCCAGTGAGATGTAGTCAAAACAGTCAGTGTAGGCATGCTGGTAAATATTGCACAGGCAGACCCTCAGGGTCTAGTGCAGCACGGAAGGCTGAAAGCTTGAAAGCAGCCAGGTGGTGACATAACTGGAGGCAAAGCTGGAGATGATGGGATCCATAGTGGGTCTCTTAAAGGAAATTCCTGTGTTAATGCTCTCCACCCCTCCTCTCAGCACGTGCAGTAACATCCTCTTCTTGGAGTGAATAAAATCTTCCAAACAGGCTCTCAACACTCCTGCAGATGCAAAACCGTTTCTGGACAAGTGTGAAAAACATCTCCCCAGTTCAAAGACAGTGAGTTTATGCTTTGTAGAAGAGATGATCATATGTCTGCAGCTGGGATGCAGAGCCAGGCTGGTATGTGTGCCAGAGTGTATGGCTCACAGGCTGCCTTGCAAATGGCTTGGCTACCCCAGAACAATCTATCAGTATACCTCCCAGCATGGACATGTTGGTATGTACTTCTGCGTTACCTCTGAGTTAGAAGAGTGCATTGCAGCTGGTGTGGTGGTACTTCATACTGGTAATTGCCAAAGATCTTAGGGGGTTGAAAGATAAGCCTGGACACCTATACACTTGCATTACGTATTGGATGCTTAAGCATCATTAATATTTTAGCTCTTGAAATGATACAAGTGGGTGAAATTGGAGAGGGTCTTGTTGCCTATCACAACCAGCACTGATACCTTCCTCCTTGGGTTCCTGCTGACCCCCATGG